AAGAATGTCTGCCCTTTTCCAGAGAAGGTCCTCCGGGATTCTCACAAGACAGTCACACCAGTCGTGTTGATGGCTGCCTTTCTCCTTCAACCCTTTTTTTTTTCCCTCTAGTTTTTTAAAGTTTTAGACGTGGGAGCTGCTGCCTGTAATCAGAGCATTCAAACTGCCATTGGGCTGGAGCCCAGTGCTGGAAGTTCCCAACCAGGCTGTGAATGATTCTTCTTCCACAGCCATTGCAGTATTTTTAGCCACGCCCATGTGCGGTGTTTGAAAGATGGGCTTTTACACTCCTTCGTCTATTTCCCTGTATTAGAAATCCAGAAATAAAAGGCAGGAGAGACCAGTGTGAAATTGCAATGAAACTGTACCCCTGTGTGGCATGATCTGTTTCAGAAGGAGCATAAAGAGGTTTTTGTTTGTTTGGGGAAACGGAAGTCTGTTGGAAGCACTGGGATCTGTTTCTGTGCGAGGACGGGAAGTTTTTTGTGAATGAGTTTGTCTGATGACCAGCAGAGCCCTTGGACACAGCTTTCTCTCTTCTAATTTTCTTAGAGCTGAAGTAGTGACAATATTCTTTCATTTAGTGCTGTTAGTTTTAAAAAGGCAGCCATCTGACGAGGTACACACATGTCGTCCCAGCACTAATCGGAGGCTGAGACAGGAGGATTGCAAGTTGGAACCCAGTATGTGCAGTTTGGCCAACTTCACGAGACCCTGTCTCATAGTATTTTTGCAAACATCTAGGGATGTAGCTCAGTGCAAAAGCCTTGAGCTCAATCTCTGTTACTACAGGTAAAAATTTTTAAAAAGTTGTCTTCAGGAGGAGAAACAATAAAAGACAAACATAGCTAGCCATGACTTGCTTATTTGATGCTCTTGTTTCCACAGAACAAGAAATGCTGGGCTTAGTGTTTGGTGCCTATGTCATGTTTCAAAGGACTGGGAGCTCGTAAATGCAAAACCAATCTAAGGGAGTGGGTTAGTCCCAGTAAATGTGAGGAATTTAGATATTCTATGGGCAGCAATAGCATAGTCTCATTGCTAGGAAGCTGCATGTACACTCAGGAAAGTATACATCCTTTTACTTTTTCAGGGTTAAATTAGAGGTATGATAAGTAATCTTAAATTGGAAATGTTTTCAGTTATCCTGAGGAGTTACCTGATCCGATATATATGAAAGCAAAATGACCTCAGTTGATGACATGATTTCTCTAATGGGTGGAAAAGGTATTGAATGCAGGAGATGATCCTTTCACAATGACAAGAGATGTAGATGTTGGATGCAGTCACCCCTACACCAGGAAGCCACTCTGGCATGACCCGTGATGTGTGGTTAAGTGCCTGCTGGTCTCTGGGCTGCCAGGCAGGGCTGCAAGAGCTGAGAAAGCTGATGCAATATTTCATCATAGCATAGAGATGTACTTAATTTATAGCTCTCGCCCTGGACCATTGCCATGCTGGGGGCACTGGGAATACAGTCATATAGAGGAAATGATGAGTGCATGGTCCAGTGTGGTACACAGCTCATAAACACTTCTTGTATAGTGGAAAAGTAGCTCTATTAGAAATTACATCCATCTGTCCATCTATCCACCCACCTATCCATCATTCCATCCTTTGAACCAGTCAGCCAGCCAGCCAGCCAGCCAGCCACCCATCCATCCATCCACCCATCCATCCATCCATGTATCCATCCATCTATCCATCCATCCACCCATCCATTCACACATCCGTCTATCCATCCATTCATCCACCAATCCATCCATCCATCCATCCATCCATCCATCCATCCATTCATCCATGTATCCATCCATCTATCCATCCATCCACCCATCCATCCATCCATGTATCCATGCATCTATTCATGCATCCACCCATCCATCCACACATCCATCTATCCTTCCATTCATCCACCCATCCACCAATCCATCCATCCATCCATCCATCCACCCATCCACCAATCTATCCATCCATCCATCCATCCATCCATCCATCCATCCACCCATCCACCCATCCACCAATCTATCCATCCATCCATCCATCCATCCATCCATCCACCCATACATCCACCTATCCACATATCCATCCATCCACCCATCCATCCATCCATGTATCCATCCATCTATCCATCCATCCACCCATCCATTCACACATCCGTCTATCCATCCATTCATCCACCAATCTATCCATCCATCCATCCATCCATCCATCCATCCACCCATCCATGTATCCATCCATCTATCCATCCATCCACCCATCCATCCATCCATGTATCCATGCATCTATCCATGCATCCACCCATCCATCCACACATCCATCTATCCTTCCATTCATCCACCCATCCACCAATCCATCCATCCATCCATCCATCCATCCATCCACCCATCCACCCATCTATCCATCCATCCATCCATCCATCCATCCATCCACCCATCCACCCATCCACCAATCTATCCATCCATCCATCCATCCATCCACCCATACATCCACCTATCCACATATCCATCCATCTACCCATCCATCCATCCATGCATCCATCGATCTAACCATCCATTCACCAGCCCATCCATCTATCCGCTCATCCATCCATTCACCCATGCAACCATCCATCTATCCATCCATTCTTTTATCCATCCAGCTAGCCAGCCAGGCAGCCAGCTATCCACCCATCCATCCAGTCCGTCCATCCATCCATCATCCATCCATCCATCCATCCATTCATGCATCCACCCATCCACCCATCTACCCATCCATCCATCTATCCACCCATCCACCCATCCATTCATACATGCATCCATCCACCTATCCATCCATCCATCCACCTGTCCACCCACCCACCCATCCACCCACCCATCCATCCATTCACCCATCCATCCATCCATCCATCCACCCACCCATCCATTCATTCACCCATCCATCCATCCATCCATCCACCCACCCATCCATTCATTCACCCATCCATCCATCCATCCATCCATCCACCCACCCATCCATCCATCCATGCATCCATCCATCCACCCACCCATCCTTCCATCCATCAATCCATCCATCCATCCATCCATCCACCCACCCATCCATTCATTCACCCATCCATCCATCCATCCATCCATCCATCCATCCACCCACCCATCCATCCATCCATGCATCCATCCATCCATCCACCCACCCATCCTTCCATCCATCAATCCATCCATCCATCCATCCATCCATCCATCCACCCACCCATCCATTCATTCACCCATCCATCCATCCATCCACCCACCCATCCATGCATCCATCCATCCATCCACCCACCCATCCTTCCATCCACCCACTCATCCACCCACTTCTTCATTTGGCAATGTTGTTGAGCACCTTCTACAACCCATGCCTGGAACAGGTCTCAGGTATTCAATTGAAAATTAAAGCCCCCTAACACTTAGCCCTCTTACAGCTGCCTGGGCAGAGAGAAAATGCCTCTTAGACATGAAAGAGCTGATTTATGAAAAGATGTGTGCCAGGCAGAGGAAGAATTAAGCATTTGGCAGAATGAAGATCGGGTCCTGGGCCTAGACCTGTAAATGTGCTGCTGATGTTAGGAAGTAGTAAATGTGTCGCATTGCATCATGAAACGTGTATATGAGTGCTGACATTGGGGTGGGGTTTGTCAGAATGCTGTGCTACGGTTTAGGACTAATGTGCCTCCCCAAAGCCTCGTGAGTTTGTAGATGGGGCTTTTGGGAATTGATTGGATCATGGGTCACTCCACAAATTGGTGGATTCACCTATTTATGAGGTCGTGGCTGACAGTGCCATGGAGCTGGGCTTGAATGGAAGAGGTGGGACCTTGGGTTATGACCTGGAAGGGCGTATTCTTGTCCCTGGCTCCTCTGTTTCTCTCTGTCTCTGCCTCTATCTCTCTCTGTCTGTCTTTCTCTGTCTCTCTCTTTTGGTCTCTATCTCTGTCTTTCTGTCTCTGTCTCTCTCAGTCTCTGTTTCTCTTTTGTCTCTCTCTGTTTTTGTCTATGTTTCTCTGTCTATCTCTGTATCTCTCTGTGTCTCCTTCTGTGTCTCTGTCTCCCTCTCAATCTCTCTTTCTCTGTCTCTCTTTTAGTCTATCTCTGTCTCTCTCTGCCTCTGTTTGCCTCTGTCTTTCTGTGTCTCTGTCTCTATCTCTCTCTGTCTCTCTGTCTTTGTATCTGTTTCTCTCTCTGTCTGTCTCTCTCTGTTTTTGTCTGTGTCTCTCTCTGTGTATCTCTCTCTGTCTCTCTCTGTATTTGTCTCCTTCTGTGTCTCTGTCTCCCTCTCTATCTCTATCTCTCACTTTCTCTGTCTCTCTTTTGGTCTTTCTCTGTGTCTCTGTCTTTGCCCCTGTCTGTCTCTGTGTCTTTGTCTGTCTCTCTGTCTCTGTTTGTCTCTGTATCTCTGTCTGTCTCTCTCTGTCACTCTGTGTGTCTGTCTCTCTCTGCATCCTAGCTGCCATGGGGGTAAGCATCTGTCCTTTGCCATTTGCTTCCATCGTGATGTTTGTCCCCTGGAGCCCACAGAGCAGAGCAGGGAATAAATTTCTGCAAACCTCTGAGCCAAGTTAACCCTCTATTCCTCATGCTGCTGGTGTCAGGTATCATGTGGCAGCAAGTACAAAGCTGACCATTGCACTGTGTGTGATGACACAGGAGACCTGGAGCATGGGAGTAGATCCACAGTGAGAGCGGAGCCAAGAGCCGGCCAGGATCAGAGTGAGAGCAGAAGGGCCTGGCCATGGGGAAGGGGCTGGCGTGGGCTTTCCTGTGTGCATCTCCAGGAGCTGCCAGTGCTCGCTCTGGGAAGCACACAGGCATCCCGTGCCCCAGTAAGTCACTTCATACAGATTTACTCTGCTGCAAAGAAAGATCCCGCGTCAGCCGCTTAAGCCTCAGTATTTTGAGAGTTTTCACAGCACATCATGCATGATCGGCATGGCGGGTAGAAGCTTTTTATTGCACTGACCCGTCGTTTTTTCTTTCTTGTCGTTTCTGCAGGAATACTGAGAGACCCTTCCTCCTTTTCGTGTCTTATCTCCAAGTGCACACGGCCCTCTTCTCTTCCAAGGACTTTGCCGGCAAAAGTCGCCATGGCCTTTACGGGGACGCTGTGGAGGAGATGGACTGGAGTATAGGTAGGTGTGATGCCCGCGATTTCCTAGAAAGTGGCCGCCTTCCACCCCCTCTTTAAGAATTCTCCCTGGCTTCCTGGAGTCTTTCTAGGAAACAAGTGTATTAACGTTTGCTTTTTGAAAGTGGTAACCAGAGAAACGGGAATCCAGAGAGGTAAACACAATGCAGAGAGCATCCTGCATCCTGTGTGTGCATCCGTGGTTGCCATGGCGACCTCGTGGTTCTGGCATGGGCTGGTCCATGTATGATCCCAGAGATGAGTAGGGAAAGGATCCAGGGAGGCTGAGGCAGGAGGATCTCAAGTTTGAGGCCACCCCAGGCCATTTAGTGGCTTAACAAGAACCTGTCTCCGAATAAAGATAATGAAATGAAATAAAAGAGGGCTGGGGCAGAGTTTAATGAAAACTTCCTGGGTTTAACCCCCTGCACCCCCCTTCCCCAGATGCTTTTCATACTTACCTGACATCATTACTATATTTCTGTTTGTTTTGCACAACTAAATATCTCAAGTCCGAGGGCAAAAGCCGGGGGCTTTGTGCACGCTAGGCAAGCCCTCTGTCACACAGTGATATCCCTAGTTTGTGTGTTTTTAAAAGAGTCTTTCTCAATTACCCTTGTCAGTCATGATCTTGAGATCCTCCTGCCTCGGCCTCCCAAGTAGCTTATATTACAGGTGTAGACCCCCGTGGCTGGCTGTACTGTGTTGTGTTCTCTTTTAAATCAAGGAGCACTCACCTTTGTAAGAAATAAGACCAGACCCTACTCGGAGCTCCAACCTATTGTTTATCTGTCTCTCTGGGAACTCCTCTGGTGACAGCTTTAACCCCTGGTCTTTTGTCTGTCATCTTGACATGAAGAATTGAGAATGAGCTGGTTCTAACCTTCTGCTCCAGCCGTGCACAATGCCCTAAGATCCCAACAGTGAGCACAAAACATGAGCGCTAAGCAGGAAAAAAAAAAAAAAAGCAGAGCTCTCTCTGTCAGAGTCTGTAAAATCTCTGCCCAGCGCTCTGAGCTGTTTTGCACACTGGCTTCCTTGTGATTTACCTTTCTAAAATCTCATGTGGAAATCGGTCTACATTATGCACACCTTGGTGGCATGATCAGAAGCTCATTTGACCCTGTGACTCAGCAGGATGTTGCGTCTCTGAAGTGAGTGACAGAGTTTCTCGTGTCAGTGAGCTGTGGATAGCACGTGCGCAGTGACGTTGTTGTGCTTACTAACTTTTAATTATCAGAGTACATAGACCTGTTCTCATGCATCCAGAAGTTTATCTCGCAGTGTTGTGTGCCACTGGTTTGCTCTCTAGGATATTTGGAGAGTATTTTTCAGTCTTTGAGATCGATGTGGGGTCTTTGAGATGGATGTGGGATCCAGATGTTATATTTATGTGAATTTGTACGTGACCGCCCTTCCTTCCTTCTGCCCTCCATCCATTAAGGCTTCCCTTTTATCCTTCCCTTCCCTTTCCTTTTCTTTATTTTCCTTTCCTTTTCTTGTTGTGCCTGGCCTCCCCTTCGCTCCCCTCCCCTTCCCTTCCCCTCCCCTCCCCTGTCCTCCCTTCCCCTCCCCTCCCTTGCCCTCCCCTGTCCTCCCCTCCCCTCCCCTTCCCTCCCCTGTCTTCCCCTGCCCTCCCCTCCCCTCCCCTCCCCTCCCCTCTCCTCCTGTGCCCTCCCTTCCCCTCCCCTCTCCTCCCCTCTCCTCCCCTTCCCCTCCCCTCCCCTCCCATGCCCTCTCCTTCCCTCTCCTCCCCTCCCCTCTCCTCCCCTCCCCTCCCATCCCCTCTCCTCCCCTGCCCTCCCCTCCCCTCCCCTCTCCTCCCCTGCCCTCCCCTGCCCTCCCCTCCCCTCTCCTCCCCTGCCCTCCCCTCCCCTCCCCTCTCCTCCCCTGCCCTCCCCTCCCCTCTCCTCCCCTGCCCTGCCCTCCCCTCCCCTCCCCTCCCCTGCCCTCTCCTTCCCTCTCCTCCCCTCCCCTCTCCTCCCCTGCCCTCCCCTGCCCTCCCCTCCCCTCCCCTCTCCTCCCCTCCCCTCTCCTCCCCTCCCCTTCCCTCCCCTCCTCTCCCCTCCCCTCCCCTCCCATCCCCTCTCCTCCCCTCCCCTCCCCTCCCCTGCCCTCCCCTGCCCTCCCCTCTCCTCCCCTGCCCTCCCCTGCCCTCCCCTCCCCTCCCCTGCCCTCCCCTCCCCTCTCCTCCCCTGCCCTCCCCTCCCCTCTCCTCCCCTGCCCTGCCCTCCGCTCTCCTCCCCTGCCCTGCCCTCCCCTCCCCTCCCCTCCCCTGCCCTCTCCTTCCCTCTCCTCCCCTCCCCTCTCCTCCCCTGCCCTCCCCTGCCCTCCCCTCTCCTCCCCTGCCCTCCCCTGCCCTCCCCTCCCCTCCCCTGCCCTCCCCTCCCCTCTCCTCCCCTCCCCTCTCCTCCCCTCCCCTTCCCTCCCCTCCTCTCCCCTCCGCTTTCCTTCCTCTCCCTTCCCCTCCCTTCTCTTCATTTCCTTTCCCTTTCCCAAAAGATAAAATCCTTTCCCCAAGCCATTCCATTAATTTCACTGGAAATTTTTGCTGTTTTATAAACCCCATTCATCTGAGTGTTTTCAGTAGCATTATTTGATTTGATTTGACTTTTTCCGAACACCTTTCGTGATTAGCAACAAAGAGCGGACTGTGGCATCCCGAGTTACCTTCCAGTAACATAAACCTGGGATCAGCCATGGTTCCATAAAAACAAACCTTTTCCATGCCAAAGGAAACCGGACAGAAGCAGTAGCTACAGAGGGTCCTTCTCAGGTATTCAGTGTTTTCTTTCAAAAAGAGTTTTTCTCCATTTTTAAACGACTTCCTATGAGTTATAGAAACTGGTGAGTTTCATTCTGGAGGATTTCCACGTATATCAAACACACTGGGATCCTCTTCTACCCCCACGCCGCCCTTCTTACAGTCCAAGCCTCTTTCTTTTTCTGTGTTCCTTTGTTCTTCCAAAATGTGTTAGGGCCTGCGATGAGAACCTTCCCCGGGTGGGTTTCCCTGTGCGTGGCAAAGCCTATTCCAACACACTCCTAGCGTTTGTGGCTTTATTCTGTGACATGTGGTCACCTTACGTGGAGTTGTTTGGTAGCTGAAGGAAGGCTGACTTCACAAAGAGCTCCTTTTGCAAATGGGACCTGTCTCTAAAACCTTAGGGCTGCGATCGGCTTGCAGACTAGCAGAGAGGTGAGCATGTTTTCTGGGGTCATGGTGTCTGGCCCTGGGGGCTGCATGAGTGACCTCGCTTTTGGGCCCCATGGTCCACATAGCAGGAAGTCATCTTACCCAGCCCATGCTACAGGGGAGGCTCAGTGTGGTCCACCTGCGCCCAGTCCTGGCTCCATAATGCATGAGCAAGCAGGTGATAAATGGAGACCCACAGCCTGGAATCCACATCACCCTTGTCCTCCTCTTCCCACAGCATCAAGGAGGCCAGTCAGTAGCTTTATGTGGTCAACAACGAACTCCTGGGAAAGAGCCAGTTCCTTCATGAATCATGGCCACTGCATACCTGCTGCATGCTTAATGCTTCTTGGGGTTCTGGATAGAGTGGGGATAAGGTTGTTGGCTGTGGGAAACATAGCAGCTACAAAGCGATGTAATATTGTCCCAGAACATGTTAGAAAACTCAGGGCAGGAAGTGAGCAGTGGTCTAGGGTGGAGCCAGAGAGCATTCATGAGCAGCTTTGAAAGAAACAGGACCAAAGGGTTGCTTCCAGGGTAGGGAGTGAGGAGAGGGGTCCCCTTGATTCTCAGCCCATGCACCAGTCGGCTCATGGGAAGGGTGAACTGGCTTCCTATTGTATTCCTCCCAGACGCAGCATGGCTTCTGCTGACTCACAGAAGGAGGACAGGCTTACATTGTTTGATTGACTTTGCAGACCTAAGGCTGATAGTCTGAGCCTCTCTTGGGAGGATGACAGTATGCAATATAACACATACGTGGCATTCCCTTCTGTCTTGTTTTTGAAATCCAATTGTGTTCTCGCCATGTAGCTTTGTTCTGATTTATTGTCTTGTTTTATTTCAATTTGTTTTGATTGGTTTTACTCTCTTTCGTTTTATTCAATTTTACCATGATGGTATGGACAAGTATTGTGAAGATAACACAAGGCATCCTGTAGTCATGGCTGACTTGTGATTGGCCTGTTGGGAAGTTCCCGTGCGACTTTCCTGTTTTGCTTTGATTGAATTTATTCTGTTAGTCTTTATTCTCTTTAAAATAAAAAAAAAAAAAATAAAGTTTAAAAGAGAAAGAAAGAAATGGAAGGAAAGGAAAGAAACAAAGAGAAAGGAAAAGAAAGAAAGAAAAGAAAGGAAGGAAGGAAAAGGGGAAGGGAGGGGAGGGGAGGGGACAGAAGGGAAGGGAAGGGAAGGGGAGGGGAGGGAAGGGAAGGGAAGGGGAGGGGAGGGGAGGGAAGAAACAAAGAGGAGAAGCAGGTGACCACACACTGCTTCCTCCTCAGGGCAATGGCCCGCACACATGCGCTGTGGGGTCCCTGGAATCCTAGCAGAGTCAGGGCTGGCTTTATCACGAAATCTGATTTTCCGATCCTGCTTCATTTGGAAGCAGCTGAGGACTGGGAGGAAATGAATGCAAAATGGCCTCATTTTCCAAGGTGCACCCTGCACTCTTGGGGTGTGCGTTCTGGCCGCAGGGGACAGGGCATGACACTGGCCATGGGCCTGTCTGAGTGGCCACAGGGGTGAGCAAAGCACGTGGGGTGCACAGGTCTTTCTGGTGCTTTCTCCTGGGCAACCTGTGGCACCCCACGCCTAGTGCCTGAGATGGAATTTGCACTCAATCCGTGTTCCTCTCCAGCCCCGTTAGTGTTAATAGAGCCTCGAAGGGTACTCAGACCTCAGCCCTTGCTCAGGATTAGACCAGCAAGCTCTGTGTTCTCAGGCAGAGAAATGCAAGTAGAGACTTAAAAAGTAAACGCAAAAACAAAGATGCACATCTACCCCTGCTGGGGATTGGGTCCGATGGT